ACTAGACAACATAGATACAAGATTATGATTATTAGTGCATATTTAGTGGGTGATGTGACAATAATTGATACATTGACATCGTACCACTAGAAAATTCATTTAGACTGGATTAAATGGTCACAAATTCATCCATTAATTTTAACGTTTTAAAATTACATTAAGTTGGATTCAATGTTGTCAAATTATCCTTGTTTGAGCCTCATTCTTTTGGAAAAATACATTTTTCAACAGTATTTTGACATCATTTCAACTACACATTCTTCAATAAAATAATATTACAAGCAAATTTAAAATTTATCCTTATTTTTTAACCACACATTTTCTATCAATATATTATTCAAAAATTCATTCTTCCCAAAAATTGGGTTCAAACAAGGGCATAAGAGAAAAAGTAAAGTTTTATTGTAATTTAAATGGGTAATCTTGATAATCGTGCAACTTATTGACATTGGGTTCCACTAATTAACATCATGAAACTCTTAAATCGAACTCTGAAAAGTACCATAAAGAATGATAATCCTACTTTTTTAGTGCAAAAGTAATTATGGTTAATGGTGATTAATTTTGTTAATGTGTCATAAAATTAGAATTTGTCTAAGGTCTAAGCATAACTTTTTACATTAAAAACGTGACTTCAGACTATAGTATTGTCAAAAGTTTAACAGTTCATATTTGAAGTTTCAAAATTGCACAGATGTGATACTTTCCAGATGGTAATTATTACTATCATTACATCAAAATTATCCTAAGGACACTAAACGTGGATACTTACAAGATCACTTTATTAAGTCAATAAATTTTTTTTGTTCATGTTTAGCATCGAAAAGCATGATTTTATTAATTTTGTATCTTAATGCATACGCAACAATTTTATAGTCTAATAATATCTTATTGTTTTCAGCATTTCAATGAGAGTCGCTCTTTTAATTTTGTTGGACGTGTTGTCTTGATTCATAATATAATGAGAATTAGAAAATTCAAAATTCGACTATTCAGCATTGACCTGTAGTCGGTGCAAGCCAAATACAAGTGAACAGTTAACTTTATTTTGAAGTTCACCGACGAAATAGGATAGATTAAGTTTCAATTTGATTGTGAGAGACGCGTCGCTCTTTGTAGAAGATTTTGCAAGCGATTCGTGATAGAAAATATATATCACATTTGAAAAGAAAAATTGAATAAAATTAATATTAAGGGGCATCGTTTTGTATATTAGCATTACTCATTTGTTGACTTAAAATAGTTTACTCTTTCTTTTGGAAGAGACTAGATTCGGTATATATATTTTTGGTGTTGGGTAGTGTCGGTATGGGACCACGTGTGTAAAACGAGTAAATTCGTGAAAATCAATGAGAAGAGGAATGCCACTTGGTTCATTTTGGAATTCAAATCAATTGGTTTGATGGCCTAACTGGACAGCTCTATCTTATCGAATTATTATGAGAAATTTGATGGGAAACTTCGCGTTTTAATTAATTTATTTTAGACCACTTCTATGTTTTGTAATGATTTGGCTTTTAGTGGACAATTCATCATTAATATCATTGGAAAAAGAGTAATAGACACAAAAACATCTTTATCATTTGGGTATGTTGTGATCGTATCCTTTCATTTTGGAGGAAAATTCATCCTATCTGATATTTTCTTTGCGGAATACAATATTTTTTTCTATATTCTCAATAAAGCCTTGTTAAATGATAAATATACATTCCTATTTTAATAAAATAAAAAGAAAAAATTATATTATCAACTATTACCAATAGTTCTTTGATTGTTAATGAACAATGAAGAAGTCATTGATGTTACTGACCCAAGCTTCTCTTTTTATCGAATAACTATTTATAATTGCTGATCATAATATAATTGGTATTGTGGTCATTCATTTGGTTTTCATATATACAATATATATACTAATTACAATAAATTCATGGAAAATTAAATAAAAGATAAAAACTACCTCATATATCGACAGTATTAAAAAATCAAAGAAATAAAAAGTGAACAATTATTTATTAATTTTTTAAATAAAATAAAAAAATTAACTTATAAATCTATTTAATTTTTTTAATTATTTATTTGAAACTCGTTTGCATTTTTTTTTTAAAATAAGACTATTGTTGAACTTAATTGTTTATTTTTATTTTAATTAAAGAGCGAGGTATATTTATCATTTCACATTACTTTGTTGAGAATATAGAAAAATATATTTTATTCAGCAAAAAAAAAAAAAAAAAAAAAAGGGTTCAAAATGGGGGTTTTTTTATTGTTTGAATAGTCAGTGGGTCCTCAATCTCCAAAAGGGGGCAATTTGGAGACTTTTATTTTAGCTCCGCAATCAGTCGGTAACAGTGAAAACCATCTTCTCCCCCCCCCCCCCCCCCCCATATATATACAAAAATTCCATTGAAGGATGTAAAAATAATTATTTGTTCGTTATAATTTTAAATAAGTAAAAAATTACCAAATACTATAAAAGTGCAATGAAATATTTTCCTATCATTTCAAAGCATAAACAGAATATTTTAGGGATGGCAATGAGTCGAGTGGCTCGATTAGTCGGTTCATATTCACGAATTATGCCTGATTTCTTGGAGAGACCTGAGCCCTCCATAGATCATGATCCTGTTCTTTTTTTAAATAAATTAATAAAAAAATAAAAAAATAACAATCAAAATGAAACGAACTTGCACACAAGCTGGCTCATGGAAAAGAAATTATGTTTAGCTCGATTCATTACTTATCTCAAAATGAGCCCAAGCTACTCATGGATTGAACCTGCCATCCATTTGCTATCCTCATAATATTTGGATAGAAGCTATCATCAAAGAGTAGATATAGTAATTAAAGGAATATTATACAAGAGAACGCGAGTTGGGGGGGGGCGGGGTATAAGTGTCACAATAATGAAAGATTGAAGAAGTTTAGCATAATTAAGAGTTAGTTCAAGTGAAGAAATAATAGCGTGACAATAAATAGAAATTTTGGAAAATGTAATATGAAATAGTATTTTTTGGAAGAAATGTGTAGTAAAAAAGAAGGAAATTTTTTTATTTACGTATAATATTATTTTATTAAAGAATGCATAATTAAAAAAAAAGAGAAAAAATATATTAAAATTTTAAAAAGTGTCAAACAAGGGCTTAATGCCAAAAGTTGTAATTTCAGTGGGACAACATAGCATTATTCAATGCATTGCACCCCCTCAACCCTCACGCCCTACGCCCATCATTTGTGGTTTTCCTTTTCAAGTTCCTTGTCAACTTTCTCCTACTTCTTATTATTATTATTATTATTATTATTATTATTATGTGTGATTTTTGGGGAAGAAAGTTTCTTTTTCTTTTTATTATTTTCAATTCAAAATATCATATCTGTCTATTGGCAATATTTAAATAGCAGGAATTATTTATTTGAAATCAACGTACTACAAAAAAATATAAAGGCTTAGGACAAAAATGTAAACCTAAAAAAGAACAATCAAAACTGAACTAGTTACTACAAAAACCATGAAATGGAGCCATCCTCAATTTCGACTTGTTCTATAGGACAATTTGGAATCTGAGTGTTCGAACTTTTCACGCAATCTCTTTTAATTAAACATGATTTTTATTTTTTAATGCTTCGATACAGTGATAAAGTGTATAGTTGTCAAAACTCGAACAAACACATTATCGTAGAAAGTATATTTTAATTAAAGCACAATTTAGAGTTTACTTATTTTTTATATATATTTTTTTAAAACAAAGTTGATCTACTAAGCACACTTACGATATTATACATCAATCAATTAATAGATAACAAATTTAATTCACATTGACACACACACAGTATATTTGTCCATTTTATTGATGTGTCATATCATCAATGTTTAGCATATCATCTAGCCTTCATCTGGAAATGATGTATAAACAATTTAATTTGTAAATAAATGAAATTGAATGTGAATAAGTGAATAGTACTATTGTGTCTATTGAAATATAAAGTTAAAATATAATTTGATCATTTATAAATGACTTATAAATTTGTCAAATAGCGGTCCTTATAATTTGGAAGTTAAAAAAAAAAAATTGATTTTAATCATATATTTCGTTGGATTTACATCTATTATCTACAATTTATTTCTATCACATTATAATATTAAATGGTCATCATGAAGAGAAATTGGAAGAAAAATGATATTTTGAATAGTAACTTTTGGGAAAATGTATGATTAAAAGTGGTAGAAAAAAGTTTGAGTTAATATGCAGAATATTTTTTTTTTAGCGAATTTATGATTAAAAATGAATATTAAAAATTTTAAAAAAAATTAATTTAAAGAGAAACAGACCGGGCTTACGATGGAATTCAAACAAATGTTTAATTTTAATTGAACCTTTTATTAGTAAATAAAATTAATAAGGATAAGGATATATTTTGTATATATATTGTGTTCCAATAAGCAATATGCATTTGGGCGTTGAGGCGAAAATCTTTTGTAGTGTACTCGTTGACATCTTTGTATGTAGTAGACATTTTCTACAAGCATCTTTAAAAAGTGTCTTTTCATTACAGCTATTAAATGAAAAAAAAAAAAAAAAAAAAAACCTTGCTTTTAATCACTTTTCAACTAATTTAGAATTAATAATTAATTTGCGTAGTATGCCATAATCAGTTTCCCTTTTTGAGTATAATTTTATACAGTATCTTATTATTTGAGATAATAATTTTCTATAATTTTGTTGTCTCAAATAATAAGATTTATAGATATAATGTTGTTGAAAATCCTCTCACATTCAGGGATTGAGCTCGTAATTAAAGTAATCGTGGGCTCTACATTTTGTTAGAGGATTGTGAAAAGAAGTGTGCGGCAATAACATTTTGATAAGATAATACTTCAAAAAATAAGTTCCCGTCATAATCGTTAATTATAAATAGTATTGCTCTTTTCGTTTAAACCAAATACGGGAAATTGATTTCTCTCCTTCCATTTTTCTTTTCCATCGCATTTCCAGACTCAGTGAAGCAACGACGTCGCATAGACATCGCCGACTCAACACTGTGATAGCTTAAGGGGTCCATTTAGTGCGTCACGCCAAAAGTAAAACCAAATTGATCGACCATATCCACTCAATTCGACCCAAAAATGGTTCTGTTAAAATCCATCTTCTCTTCTATAAAAGTCCTTCACTTGCTTAAAACCCTGATTAACAAGCCATGAAAATTTCTTGAAAAGCTTCTAAATTTCACTGAGAATTCAAATTTGTTGTGGGGGTTCCAACTATGGTTTCTCTAGAAGATTCACGCTCTCATTCACACTCCAATCCCAACATTACTACTCACTTTCCTCGAACGCGGACTTATTACTACACTCCGCCGCCGTCTTCCGCCAGCATCAGCCGTTCGATGGGCCGTTCCATGCGTACTATACGTTCAAAGCACTTCCAAACTGATCTGTCTGGTGCCATCTACGAGAAATCGTCCAACGTTTCTGAAAACCTAACCGACTCGGTCATAGACCTTCGCCTCGGGGAGCTCGCCAATAAATCGCCGGTTGATTCGAAAGCTTCGTCTTCTTCCGAAATCGACGAGTTTTTGGACATTTCCCAAGCTTTCAGTGACTTCTCCGCGTGCTCCAGTGACATATCTGGAGAGCTCCAGCGCCTAGCTAGCCTCCCCCATCCTGGCCCGAATCAAAGTCCGACGCAAGACCCGGAGCCCGAACCATGTTTGGGCTTTTTGCAGAGAGAGACATTTTCCACGGAGATTATTGAAATCATTTCTCCTGAAGACCTTCAGCCTACTGTAAAGCTCTGTGTGGACGGGTTGCAGTCGTCCTCAGTTGCAATTAAAAGGTCAGCAGCTGCTAAATTGAGACTATTGGCAAAAAATCGAGCTGATAATCGGGCCTTGATTGGAGAATCCGGTGCAGTTCCCGCTTTGATCCCGCTTCTCCGGTGTTCGGATCCGATGACTCAGGAACATGCAGTCACGGCTTTACTCAACCTCTCACTTCTTGAAAGCAACAAAAGTGTGATCACAGATGCAGGTGCAGTAAAATCCTTAATTTACGTGTTAAAAACAGGCACAGAGACTTCCAAACAGAACGCAGCATGCGCTTTGTTAAGCTTGGCTTTGATCGAAGAGAATAAATTGTCAATTGGTGCTTGCGGTGCAATACCTCCATTAGTGGCACTGCTCATTAATGGGTCGAGTAGAGGGAAAAAAGATGCTTTAACAACGCTGTATAAGTTATGCTCGGTGAAATTGAATAAGGAGAGGACAGTGAATGCCGGGGCTGTGAGGCCGTTGGTGGGGCTTGTGGGAGAGCAGGGGACTGGTTTGGCCGACAAGGCGATGGTGGTGTTGAGTAGTTTGGCTGCCATTGAGATGGGACAGGAGGCAATTATAGAGGAAGGTGGTGTTGCGGCACTGGTCGAGGCAATCGAGGATGGAAGCGTTAAGGGGAAGGAATTTGCAGTCTTGACTTTGTTGCAGTTGTGTAGAGAAAATGTTCGGAACAGGGGATTGCTCGTTAGGGAGGGAGGCATCCCACCACTTGTTGCCCTGTCACAGACTGGTACAGCAAAAGCTAAGCATAAGGTGAGTTTTGCAACCTTAATTATTTCAACAGTTTGCTATTTTTACAGTAAATATTGCATTTTAAGAGCTCTTTCTCAAATTAGGGATAATTTATGTGCTTATTTTGCCAAAAGAATATGTTTAAGAGCTTTCTCTTGGATTTATATGTTTAAAGGTGAATGCCATATTGAATGGAGTTTGTTATAGTGCCAATTCTGATGCACAATTCTAGTGCCCAAGTTATTCGCGAATATGTTCATTAACAGGGATCACAATTTTAGCTATGCTTTTGATTTCTGTAGGCAGATCTAATCACTGTTCAAGCGAATTAAGATGATTAACTATGTTTTAATATTTTTGATTTATTATTGAATAAGAGGAATAGAAAGTCTGGCTAGTTGTATGGAGCTTGTTGAATTATTGATGATAAGAATTTGAATGCTGAACTTAAACACCAAGAATTAATAATTTTGATTATATCATAGTTATTCATGGTGAGATCTTGAGATGGCTGTTTATTAACCATTCATTAAATTATGAATACACGCCATAAAGGAATAGTTGCTGCAGCGTTGCTTTCAGTGGTGGGGTTATCTTACTATATTTTGCTTGTAGTTTTGGGTACCATGAAATGAAAGCTACAATTTTCTTGACCCGATGCTGTTTTCATGGGAAGAATTGTATTGATGTTGTATGGTTGTGTTTTTGGCAGGCTGAAGCACTTCTTGGGTACCTGAGAGAACCTAGACAAGAAGCTTCTACGTCGAGTCCGTAGAGACTCGCATAAATGGTTCTGTATAATATCATACTGTAAACAGTTTGTTGTTGACTGTATATGGTAATTGTTTTGATGGGATTGGGATTTGTACAGAGTAGTCGAGTATTTAGGAGTATATGATAGAAATTTGAGAATGATTAGAAGCTGGCCTTCTAGTTGTATGTTGGTCAATTAGATTCTTTTTTGGTTTGCACATCCCCTTCATTGATGGTATTTGTCTCTATGGAGGGTGGAGCTTGGTTATCTAGCGTGTGTTTTTGGTTGCTGAGAATTCGGGTATTATTTGTGTTGTTTTATTTCGGTGATCAAATTCCATGGAAGGTTTTATTAGTCATTCTTCCATGAATGGAAAATTTTCTTTTGAGCTTGACCCTGATCCAGGTTATAGAAGATTGAGTGTGCTTGAGCTTGGTTTGTTTTAATTACATGTCTCCGTTGCATTTTATCAGATTCCTCCATTGCCTTTTATGTGCTTCTCAAACTCGTAAGTTCAAAATAGTTTGAACCGATCTCTATATTGATTAGGGCATCCCTTGTTTCCATCGTGATGTTACTGTCACAAGACTTTTTTTCTCCAAAATTCTAAGACGATGAATCCTCCTCAAAGTTTCCCTTCTAACGCGGATGCTTACTTTTGATCCTTTGTTTAACTTCCTCTATACAGCATATATCAGACTGCAGAAAGTATTATAACCGGTTTGGCAGGGCTTCTAGTTTTGTTTCTAAAGTTCTTGAGAGTGTTACACTCTGCTAGTTTTCTTCTAGTTGACAGCATTTTCCGAAAGTTATTCGAAAGAAAGAGGATTCAAAATGAAGGGATAGTAGGTAGGGACTGAGTTGTGTGTTGTAAAATTGAAGAAGTTGAAATGTGATGGTCCTACCAACATGCATGTATCTGTTTCGCATGACAGAGCCAGGCACACAGATACCAACCCCACGAGAGATTTTAAAGTGGTTGGGGGGTGGGGTGAGTGGATATGAATCTTTCTTTCTTTTTCTTTTAGCTTCGTCGTGTTATGATTCCATTAGCTGGCAATGGCAGGAAGGGTTAGGTATTTTTGTTCTGCGCTTTTTCCTTTTGTGCAACCCCTCTTGCCTTCTCTTTGTAATTTTCACTTTTTATGGAGTGTCGGTGTACTTAAAATGGGTTGGATCGTAACAAATGGGCCTACTATCACTCTGAAACTTACCCGGAAAAAATTCGTATATACCCCAGTACCAAAAACTAATTCACACTTTACTGTGTGATGGTAATGAAATTTAAAAAAAATATAAAAATAAATACTAATTACAATTTTAATTATCTTTAAAAATATTAACTTTCAAAATTATAATCCTAACCACATTTTGTAACTGATGTAAGGATGTGTTTGATTAGAGGTGGAATTTCATGGAAAATGAAATTAGAATTCCACCTTCCAATTTAACCTTGTTTCATACCTATTTTTTTTCCCTAGAAATGAAATTTCATCTTTGGTGC